TAATTCTATCACAGCAACAGAAGCATTTCAGACATATTATCAGGAAAGGGAGGGAAAAAAAACGTATTTATACCAGTTTCTGGCAAAGAATTGTTATGCACTCTAAAAGGAAATAATAATGTTCCGGAACAAAACTTCTTCTCAAGCGTAGACAGTTTTTATAATTCTAGTATCCGATACTTGGAGTCGAGGAGAACGAATTTTGATAAAGTAAGTTTTAGTGGATAAATTTACGGAGAGAAACGGCCTAGTCTGATACAGAGGAGAGTGCAAAAGTTCATGAAAATTTTAAATGATTCAATAAGTATTGATAACATGTTTGATAAACATACATTGGTGAACCAGGTAATTCAACACCAAAGGGTAGGTTGTGGTTCACGTTATGGTTGAATTTGCAATGTTTTTACCTGGCACGTCTGCTTCAGTTGAGAGTGTTTTTTAATTAGGGGGAACATTTGATCTGCAGAAAAAGGTAGTCTTTGAGTATCTACTATTAAACATCTGCTAAAAGTGAAAACTAATTCAAATCTTTCTTGTTGTGAATTTATGATATAATTAAAACAAAATAAACAATTTCTGAAAAATATCACGTCTAATGAAAATGCAATTGAATAAACAAAGTTTTATGTTTATTCTTAAGACTTTCAAGTAATAAAAAAAATATGCCCTGGTTTGGACCCAAAACAGTATGGTACGTTTAGTTAAGAGTTCGTCTTTTACGAAGGATGTACAGTATATGAAGTATTCCCTCAGAAGATCCTGTATTAGTTTTATTATATACAGAAGTGCCAGTATTACTAGTTTACACTATACAGGAATATATAGCTGATTTTTCATTTTTATTTGTTAATACAGCACAAAGCCCGAGATCCGGAATGATCTAAAATCCGGATCTTAAAGCCACCAACAAGAATTCTTTTAGGACATTTTTTATGCTTTACGCATGCGCATTTGATTTTTTCCGTAAGAAAACACGTGGAGAATCCACATTTTTAATTTCAATTGGCACTAAATAAAAAACCTCGTTATTGAAGAAACAATCGTTATAGCATAAATTTGTGTGATCAATAATTTGGCTGCGTATCTGCTTGGAACTCAGACGGAAACCATTGTACCTAGAAACACCGTTGATTTTACACCTACTCATATTTATATCACTGACGCCAAACGTGGTGAATCATTATTTATTATATTTTGCTTTTATCACCGCGTGTTTATCAACACATGGTAACTTTATTGGCTCTAACTCCAAATTAATCTTTATTTTGACAACTCTGTTTCATCAAATAACGTCAATCCAAGTTTTAAATCAAAATAATCTTTATTTTCGTTTTTATCAAAATAAAACAACTCTTTAAACAATATCATTAGTAATCTTTGTGCCATTCAAGACAACAAAAATTGAATATCAATTTTGTTGCCATTCTCAAAACAACAAAAAAAAATAAAATGATATTAATCAGTATTAAGTTTCTGTATAAGTTCAAGCCACAACATCCTCCCTTCCCAGTAACTAAGTTACGGTAGAGCATAATAATACCTTTAAACACACTTTTACAAAAAAAAAAAAAAAAAAATCAAAAAAAAAAAAATATTATTGATACATATAATGCTAATCCCGACATCGCACAGGGGTTTATTGTCCCCCTTCACTCGACTGTTTGTAGGAAACTTTTTAATTTTAGAGGTAAGTTTTGGAGGTTTGACAGTTATCTCATTGACGTTGTTGGTTGCTTCGTAGTAATGTCTGGTTTTGCAAGAAATATGCAGGCTTTAATCTATCAATAACACTGTAACATCTTTGTGATTAATTTTTTTACTGTAAATATATTTTTCTTTTCTGTCAACCACTTGAAAAGACCATCATAAGGGGGTTTCTAATTGCTTTTTAACTCTGTCTTTGCGAATAAACACATGCGATGTTGTTTTCAAGTCTTTAGGGACGAATATTTTTTGGACATATTTATCGGATACTGTTCTTGGTCCAAATTTTTCATAGATTATTTTAGCTGCTTGACAAAAGTATCAGGTGGTGTAGGAGTTGTGCTATCGTGGAAAAATTCTCCAGGTAACCTTATATTTTGTCCATAAACCATTTGAGCAATGGTATATGCAGTCTTCTTGCATAGCTGTGCGTAAGCCAAGAAGAACAGCTGGAAGTGTTTCAGTCAAGGCCAGGCTATTGTGTGCCATAAGCGCGGTCTTGAGAGATCTATGGAGACGCTCTACATTCCCATTTCTTTGGGGGGGGGTGGTAAGCCGTTGTATGTATTAATTTTATTCCACACATTTTTGATAGGTTGTTGAACAACTCTGAACTAACTGAGGTCACGATCTTTGACAGGCGACAGGGCGTCCCAACTCTTGAATCAATTAGAATAAAATGCTTTAGCAAACTGTGTCTGCTGAAATGTTGTTAAAGTGGAATCACTTCCATCCAGTTAGAGTACCGGTCAATGCAAGTGAGACAGTAAATATTCCCATTTGATGGTGGTAGGGTCCAATAAGATCATATGCACGTCCAAAGTCTTTCTGAAGGCAGTTAAAATCACCGAAACTTGATTTTGTGTGTCGGTTAATTTGACTTCTTTGGCAAGCCATGCGAGATTGCACATCTTTACGGATACTTGGCCAAAGCTGCACATCTTTACGGATACTTGGCCAAATAAATTTAGACGATAAGAGTTTTACAGATGACTTAATACCAGGATGGGCTGTGTTATGCATTTGATAAAATATTTTCTTGCGATAACTGTCTGGAATATATGGTCTCATATTATTCGCTGAAGTTTCACACCACAAAGACTTCCCAGAAGGTAGCGGATACTGCTTGAAGTTCAGGAAAAATGATGATGTCTTCAAATTTTGCAATTCTTTATCCATAATTTGTTCACCTGCAATTTTTTCATAGTCGATCAAAGAAATTTCTTCAATTCTCGAAGCATCTGCAACGATTCTAAGTATCTGCAACGATGTTGTCTCGGCCTTCTACGTGCTGTATATCAGTTGAAAACTGAGAGATGTATTGTAAATGTCTAAGTTGACGAGGTGATGCTTTTTCTGGCTTTTGTTTAAATGCAAAGATTATGGATTTATGGTCTGTGAATATTGTAAATGTTCTTTCTTCCAGTAAAAATTTAAAGTGCTTGATGGAGAGGTAAATTCCAAGTAACTCTCTATCGTAAGTACTGTAATGCTTTTGTGCTTCGTTTAGTTTTTTGGAATAAAATGCAACAGATTTCCATCCATTATCTTCAAATTGTTGAAGTACCGCTCCGATCGTTGAGTCTGAAGCGTCTGTATATAATGATAGAGGTAGTTCATGATTCGTGAATGATAAGAGTGTTGTATTGACTAAATCATCTTTACATTGCTGAAATTGTTTCTTAGCTTCATCGGTCCACTGAATTTTCCATTTATCTTTTTTTTTCGAGCTCCTTTAAGGTAGTCATGTAGGAGAGATTGGTTTTTTGATGTATTTTTTAAATATTGCCAATAAAAATTAATAAGGCCTAAGAATGTTCTGAGCTCGTGAATGGTTGTTAGAAGCTTGTAATTAACAATAGTTTGGACTTTCTCAGGCAAAGGTCGTGATCCTTGAGGAGTAATTAAATAACCCAAGAATTCAATTTCTTGTGTGCCAAAGATGGATTTGGAAACATTAAGTGCAGAGTTCCATACGCATTTAATCTCTCAAACACAAGCTTCAAATGGATTCTATGTTGTTCACCACTAGTAGATGCTATCAGAATGTCATCTAAGTATGGAAAAATTTAGACCAGAAAGAACTGTATTTATAAATCTTTGAAACGTTGGTGGTGCATTCTTCAAACCAAAACTCATAACATTAAATTCATATAATCCAAAAGGAGTAATAATAGCAGTTTTACATCTGTCTTCTTCGGCAATGGGCACTTGGTAGTAGGCTTTAAACAAATCTATTTTGGAATAAATATTCGTACCTTTTGAAATATGATGGAAGTCCTCTATCCTAGGAATAGGATATCTATCAGGAACTGTTCTATCGTTTAGCTGTCTATAATCTCCACATGAGCGAAGAGTACCATATTTTTTTAGCACCACATGCAGAGAACTTGCCCATTGAGAACTCGAAGGTCTTATTATGTTATTGTCTAACATGAATTGGAATCTTGCTTAACTATTGCAAGCTTTCGAGATCAACTGTCTTGCTTAGAATGCCAGGTGACCATGTGTTATGATATGATGTTAACTTATGTTTTTTAAAACTGATAAGAAAATTTGGTTTGCATAAGTCTGGGTATTGTTTTAGAAGAGTATTAATTTGTTGAATGGGTTACGTAACAATATCACTATTTCACTATGGAAGCCAACTTCACCAGTTACCTTTAGTTGAGTTACTCCAATCAGTTTCTTGCCATGTAATCAATTATTAAATTTAAATTTGTTAAGGAAATCAGCTCCCAAAATTCCTTTTTAATTTTAGGTACTATAAATGGAAAATTGGAATTCACGCCTAAGTCCTAATCAAGTGTAACATTTTATAACGTATGTTTCGATTTCGGTACCATTCGCTGCATACACTTGAAAATCCGTGGATTGTTTGATGGATTGTGCTGATGCAGGTAAATGCTAACATATGCACCGCTATCTATAAGAACACCTTCCGATTTTTTATCTCTAAAAATAGGCGAAATTGCGACATTCTTAACATATCGGCAGTAGAGCTTGCCGCCTCTTCTACTGCGCATTGTCGTTTTTTCCCTGATTGATGATCTATCAGTTGACCAACTGCACGGCTGAGTACATTTATCCTGATAACATTTGTTACCGAAACGGAAATAAAAAACAATATTTTCCTTTAGGATTAAATCTTTTCCTAGAAGTACTGCGAGATCGTCCGCGGGACGAGAGTTTGTTTTCTAAATCGTGGTCTCGATATAGTATATGAAACAGTCATTTCGGCAATTCGCTGTTCAAGGAATTGAATTTTCATTAACAGTTCTGTATTCGAGCAATTACTAGCTGTTGATACACCACAAATCTTTAGAAGGCGTCATAGCAGAAATTTTATCAGCCATTATCGCCAACTTGGGTAATTCTTCGTCACTAACAAGTATTATATTACGCATAGAATCCGGCAATTTCTCTAACCATAACGTTTTAGTTAAATTTTCGGACACATCCGATGTTGCAACAGATTTTAATTTTTGTAATAATTGACTGGGTTTCAAGTTGCCTAAATCGATTCCTGTAAGAAGTTTTTTAATTCTAGTACTTTCGCTTTCCTTAAATAAATCCAAAAGCCTTGTTTTGGATTCTGCATATTTAGTAGCGGAAGTACTTGTTATGATATCCCAGATGTTCTCAACATGTTTTGGTTCTAACTGTGATACTAAATAGTTAAATTTCGTTTCTTCCGAAATAATTCCAATTATCTTAAATTGAGCCTCAACTTGAAAAAACCATATTTCTGGGCGATCCAACCAAAATGGAGGAATTTTGACACTTACCTTGCACAGTTCGTGTGCAGGATCCTGAACAGTTTTATCGTCTTCAGTCATATTTACTTTTAAATCAAAAGTCCAAGTCACCAATTATTGGCTCTGACTCCAAACTAATCTTTATTTTTACAACTCTGTTTCATCAAATAACGTCAATCCAAGTTTTAATCAAAAAATCTTTATTCGTTTTATCAAAATGTAACAACTCTTTAGAACAATTCATTAGTAAACTTTTGTTGCCATTCCAAGAACAACAAAAATTGAATAATCTTTTTGTTGCCATTCTCAAAACAACAAAAATTGAATAATAATTTTGTTGCCATTCTGAAAACAACAAAAAACAAATAAAATGATATTAATCAGTATTTAAAGTTTCTGTATAAGTTCAAGCCACAACAACTTGAGTAATGACTGATGCAGCGATTCCTAAACAACTTTTTTATATTAGTAATTGAATAACAAAGAGTATGGAAACTTTTTATGTTGATATTACGCTAAGCGGATTTTTAAACTGATTACAGATTTATATATTTTTAAAGTTAAATAAGCTAAATGTTGACGAGGAAAAATTTAAGAAAAGTTTCTTTCCATATGCTAAAAATACATTTTGTTAATTATACTCATAAGCCAAAAGGGTACATTTAGTGCTATTTGATTTACTGATTTTTTTATTCACATAAACCTAGAACTGGTGCCAGAGCTCGTATAGCCGCACTAATTTCGCAGAATTTAGGGAAGACAAAATTTCTAGCGCTTAGTGAAGCACGGAGTAACAGAATTAAGGGATAATAAAATTTTTAGAATTTTAGGAAAGCACTGGGACCCAAAATTAAGAAGCGTCAAAAATATAGAGCTTAGGCTCCCTAAGGTCTACAATCTAATTTAGAGGCTCCCTAAGGAGGCGCTTGGTAGCAAAATTTAGAATCTGCAGAGACAGCATCAGGCGACAAAATATCTAGCGCCGGCCTTCAGTAAGCTTATGTTGGAATTTATTTATTCAAGAATCAGATGAGCCTTAAGCTTGTATAAAAATTAAACGTAATAATAATAAATAACTAAATTAATGAATTCAGGCTTAATTGTCTCAGTTCTCGATTGAAGCAAGACAAAAGTTAACGAGACATTTTGTCTTACGTCGCCAGTCTCATGCTACATAGACAAAAATGTATAGCAGAGGCTCTTAAGCTAGAGTAAAATTATACTTTACTGATGCCAAACAATTTCAGGTAATATATCAGATTGCGCTGTTCCTCAACTTTCTGATTTGCTTATTATTTTTTGCTGGCTGTTGTAACTACAGCAATTTTATGACAACTAAAGTTTGAACTTTCGATTATGTCGAAAAGAGTTTCTAATTCTGAAGCTACTAACAGGATCTACAAATCGAAAACATATTTTGATGTCCATTAAACAAAAGATGGAATTGCTGCAAAAAATGAATATAGGTATATCCGTCTCAAAAGTACGCGAGGAGTATGGCATTGGAAAGTCAACTGTATATGACATAACATAAAAAGGAACTTTATGAATTTTTTGTGGACTCTGACACCCCACTCGCAATGAATAACCGAAAAATTATTCGCTATGCTAAAATTGATAATCATGACAAAGTGGTGGTTGAATGGGTCAGACAACGTTGCAGCACGGAGCGTGCCATTGATGGGTCCAATGTTAATGGGTCAAAACAAAATATTAAATGAAGAAATGAACTTAAAAAAAAAAAATGAGTGCACGTATTAGACAGGTTGTTTAACTAAATTTAAAAATCGCCATGGTATAAGCATTTAAAAATTTCAGGTGAAAAAGCTTCAGCTAACACAGAAGCTGCTGAAGTATTTGCAGATGAATTTATTAAATTCATTAATAGTGGAAAGTTATTTTCAAAGCAAATTTACAACTGATGAAACTGGTCTTTTTTGGCACGATGCTGATGAAACTGGTCTTTTCTGCACCGCGAAATACCTTGGGAACCTCTACAGAAAAGGCTCCATCTGATGCCAAAGATTCCAAAACTAGACCAACAATTTTAGCATGCGCAAATGTTGCAGGAATGCACACGTGTAAACTTTTCGTAATCGAAAGTATACGACCTCGAGCATTTATGGTAAAGATTTTCCCGTTATATATCGTGTAAATAAAACAGCAATGATGACACAAGCGTTAATGTATGATTGGTTTGAAAAATCATTTCATACCCAAGGCTTTAGAGGCCCACCAGCGGCCGAGCGGTAAAATCGCTGAACACTGGTAGTTCGGTCCGAGGTTCGAATCCCGCGAACGGGCTGGCTGCATGGGCGTTTTCGTGGTTTCCCCATGTGCAATGTGTATACGAGCCCAGTTTCCTTTAGAAAGTCCTCCACGAAGGCATACCTTCCCTTAGGCAGATAGCCTAGTGTGCTTTGCCGTATTCTCAGTACACACACCATACCCAAGGCTTGGGGAAATTTGAATTCCTTTGGTTTACCTGATGACGCAAAAATTGTCCTGATTGTAGATAAGCGTTCGGCTAATATGTCACTTAAAGTTTTAATAAAAGGTAATGTATCCGTGTTATCCTTTCTTCCAAACTGTACGTCCATCATTCAGCCTAAGGATATCGAAATAGTGCGCGCGCTGAAATGTAAATATAATGTAGCACTTTTAAAATCCATGTTAAATTTCTCGATAATGGCAACACTATTCAAGCATTTTAAAAATATTTTAACATAAAATCTGCTGTGTGGAGCATCGCAAGATCGTAGGAGATGGGCCTCCAGATACATTAAAAAATGTTTGGCATAATTTATGGCCAGCTAACCATATTTCATGGTGAGAATAATGAAGGTGATAGCCGCGAATGTGAAGGCTTTCAGGGATAATAAACCACAGCTGAAAAGTTCCAATGAATGGATATTGTAAAGAAATGTGAAGGAGTGGTAATAAATGAAAAATTTTTTGATTGCGTTGGCAATGCTCCAAACATCAATCAATTAACGGACGGCGAAATCTGTAGTATGTCTCTAGGTCCACAGAATACCTCTACCGATAGTGAAGAAAGTGACAGAGAGTTTATTGAAAACGAAAAAATTTCGATTGATAAGTTAGTCGGTATTCTCGACACAGCAGTTACAGGACTTGACAGTGGAACTTGGTAACTGAACAAGAAATTATGTCTGTTATAGAACTAAAGAGAAAGTATTAGCACAAAAACGAAGCAATTAAATACTACATTGAAAGAAATGTTTAATAAGTAACAAATAAATATTAAGCTTTTTTTTTGTAAATTTTGATACCCTTTAGATCATAATTGTTTTTTATTTCATAAATTACGCTTTCATATTTTTAATTGTACAATTTCTGCATGCCATCTTACGAGATTTAAATTGATGATCTATAATCCGGAAGAACCCCTAATCCTGAATTGCCGAAGTCCCGACGAGTCCGGATCTCAGATTTTGTACTATATACATCATAGCATGCATGAAGGTTCCATAAAATTTAGAGTAAAAAATTACACTGAACACAGATTGGCTTGGTCAACGAAAGTTTTGTTATTGCAGGGTAGTATGTTTGATATTCGAAAGGAATATGTGTTTTTAAACGAGCAAAGCACATCAAAAGATAGTTAATCAATCACCAACTACTCTTAAACGAACAGTGAATAGAATCCACTGACAAATGCAGGTTATATTATCTAACAGAATCGGTAGACATTTGCTTATGAATCAAGTCTACATTGTTAACATAAAGTATTTAATTTTGAATAACAGTACATAAAGAATTAACCCATTAAACAATATCTGAGGAAACTGGCTGTTTCGACTTCTTAACAGATTTCTTGTCTTAATAAATGATCTTTAACATTCATTGGGTAGGGTAAGATGAAAAATCTGCGGAATGTTAATGTTTCGATCACAAATTATCTGTGAGTATGTTATAGACTCTTCATATCGTGTTTTTCCATCATCGAAGAAGGTACTCAGATTTTAATTATTTGTTGAATAGAAGTTTCTAAAACCTGCCGCAGAAACAGCAAGCGTTACCCTACTACTTCAATAATTAAAAATTTACAATTATTTAAGATAATCCTGCTATAAGATTTAGGAAAAATTTCCCCCCCAGATCTGACCGTGCTTGTCTGTATTTTTTAAACATTTTAAAAATAATCTTTAGGTATTTACAACTAATACAGAAGCATCAGTTCTTTCACTTAAAGTGACTGAAAAATGCTTAAGTTTATCAGCTGAAAAATTATACTTATTCTTTCTTCCCTGTGACCTCTGAACGGCACAAATCTGTGACCTCAGATGCCAATTATCAAACTCGGCAGATGGTTGTACGGAGAAAATCAGCAGGCGAGAAACCTAGAGAAAAATTAAAACATGAATCTGAAAAACAGAATATTTATAAATCTTAAGGACGAAAACCTTAGAGAAGTGATATGATTGGCAAAAATGATAACTTATTTGTACGGAACTAAACATTATTAAAGGATTGAGACTCCGGCTTTTACAGATTGACACAGAGAATGAACTTTTATGCAAAATAAAGTCACATGTAACAAGCAAATTAAACTTCATAACTTTATCTTATTAAACTTATAATAAAAGACGCTTGAAGGAAACCTTTGAAATTTCAGACTGAAAAATAATAGAAATAATCAAGTGCATGATTTATATGACAAGGCTTCGATAAGCATGTAATAAGGCTATGATGCTCAACATAATATTACATTCCTCTAAAGCTTTATTTAAGGGAAAGGAAATATTTTGTTTTCGAATTTATTTTTAATAAGTTTTCTAACCTACGTTTTTTCGTAATAAAGGAAACACAGGAATTTCTAACTAAAATTAAGGGGGTAAATTAATTAAACTGATGAATCATTTTCATCCTCTCAACCCATGTTTAGTCACGGTTTTGCAATAATATACTTTCATCCTTTTTCTACATTTAGTCATAGTTTTACAGTATTACGTTTCTTCAAAAGACATGTTATAAGGTACTTCTCTCGTTTTCTTAACATACCTTCGTGGTGTAGTGGTCAGCACGCTCGACGCGATTTCCAGAGGTCCGTGGTTCGA